GATTTTTTTTAGTATACTAACAGTATAAACCACAAAAGCAAAAACTAGACTTTATTAAAAAAATTGCTCTTCAAAAGAACATCTTTAACAGGACTTGTATCCTGTATTTTTATAAACACAACTTTTTTAAAAGGACAATTCAATTTTCAAACACTGAACAAAATAATTGAGCAGACACATCACCAAAGAAATATAGATGGCAAACAAATACAGAAGATGCCAACACAAGTTGCCAACACAAGTTGCCAACACAAAAATGCAAATAAATAAAAACTATGATATACTACTACTTATTCATTAAAACAGCTAAAATCAAACACACAACAACAAATAAAATAGTTCTGCTGACAACATGAAGCAAGTAGAATCCTTGTGCTTTGCTATTGGGATTACTACTCAATCTGGCTTTATCTTCCTTAAAAGCACTTTTTCTTACCTAAAAGTTTGTTTTTGTATGTAAATCCATATATGTATGCTCCTATGCTTATTATCTATCTCCTCCAACATAAGCACTATGAAGCTGTGACTTAAGTCTGTCTTGTCACCATTCTACTGTGTCACCCAGCACCAAGAAGAATGTCTGGCACAAAGCGGTCAAGCAGTATATATTCATTAAAAGGCAAGGAGGTGTGGAAAGAAAGGACACTAATTATAAGTGAATGTATGGAGGAAGGAACTAGGGCAGTCTGTAGAGGGATAACATGCTGGTGTGAATGAAAACTGATAATAGTATGAAGCTGTATGGTGTGGAGCACAATTTGCAGTTTCATCTATACATCAGAAATAGATGGAAACCTCTGCAAAATTCCAATTTGAAACCACACCAGACCAATAAAACCAGAATCTCTGAAGATAGGACCTCAGCCTGGGTCATCTGTAAAATTCCTCATGTATACTGATCACAAAACTCAACACCCACAACTTGAAGAGGTTTAATCTGGATTATGGTTCTGAAGATTCAGTCCATGGTTGACTGACTCCAAGGCAGGAGCATCATGGCCCAAAGGGTATGTGGAGCAAAGCTGCTTAGTACATGGCAGCCAGAAAATAGATCAAGGAAACAAAGCCAAAGAGGAAGGGCTAGTAACCAGATATACATCCTAAAAACTCACCTCTGTGACTCACCTAGACATACCTAGAAATGTACTATACTAATCTCCTGGGCAGCTCCCAAGTCAATCAAGTTGACACAAGTTTAACCATTATTTTCCACCCCTTATCAAAATGATATCCAAACACGTCTCCTTAAACCATACTTAATCCCCAAATATTTTAAAAGGTTATAATTCCACCTAACATAATGTAACTAACCTACAAACAACTGAAAAGCACTAATCCCTTCCCCCAAAGTCTCAACAGCTCCAGCATTCCAGTTCAAATGCAACTCAAAGTCATCTCTGACACTCAACACGTTCTCTTAGCCGTGATCTCTGTAAAATTTAAAAAGCAAGTAACTTAATCCCAAAATACAATGGTACAGGGTAAACATTCCCATTCCAAGGAGGAATATGGGGATTGTTATGGCTTGTATTTAGATTTCCCCCAAAAGCCTCATATGGTCATAGGTGGGGCTTTTCAGAGGTGGCTGGATGTAGGATGTGTGATACTGGGATCAAGGATGTGATGCTGGGATTGATTCAGGGTGCAATGCTAGGATTAATGGTGGTCTGCCCTGAGTGTGACTATTACCTGCCCTAAGGGTGGGTAACCTGGATAAGCTATAAGGGACAAAAAGAGATCTTCTGTTGTCACCTGCTGCTTGTCACTTTTGCTGCCTTCTGCATGCGATAAACTGTTCCTTCTCTGTGATGTCCCTCTGCCATGCCACCTGCCTTGGAGCCAGCCAACTGTGAAATGAAACCTCTACAAACTGTGAGCCAAAATAAACCTTTCCTCCTTTAACCTTAAGATGTCAGGTATTTTGTCTCAGCAATGAGAAAAAGTAACTAAGTGATAGAAAAGAACTGGACCAAAACCTAGCAAGGCTAACATTATGTCCTGTAGCTCCATATCTGGCATCCAGGGCACATAGTGGCAAAATATAAGTTCCAGGGGGTTTAGGAAGCCCCACACCTATGGTCTTGTTGGTTATAGCACACATGGCTCTCTCTAGCCCACATCTCCAAATTTTTCTAAATTCTTCCTGCAAACCAGTTAGATTTCTGAAACATGTGGTCAGGTATAGTCACAGCAACAATCCCACTTCTCTGGTACAAATTTTCTGTATTGGTCAGCTTTTCATTGCTGGGGCACAATATTTGACACCCACAGCTTAAAGGAATAGAGGTTTAATTTGGTTTATGGTTTCTGGCATTTCAGCTCATGGTTGATTGGCTCCAAGGCAGGAATATCACAGAAAAAGGGTGTGGTGAAACAAAGCTGCTTAGTTCATGGTGTGGTGGCCAGGAATTAAAGAAGCAGGACACCATCAGAGAAGAAGCAGCCAAGGACAAGCTATAAACCTCAAGGTACACCTCCATGATCCACAGAAATACATTCAGAAGTGTGCTTTCCTAAGTCTCTAAGCAGCTTCCAAGACAATCAAGTTGACAAGCTTAACCATCACAGCAGGTGATCCCAGTTGTAAAGTCCAATTTGAGAATCAATGAGGAAATGGAACCTAGGCTTTGAAACTGTACAGTATGTATGTGAGCATAAAACATGTGCAAGTTATTTAACCTTACTTTGCTCAAAATTCTTACCAACACAATGGGAATAATACGTACTTTCCAAGGTTGCTGTAAAAACTAAGATTATATACAGACCACTTAGTAAATGTTGATTCTCTTCTCCAAAGTAAACCTGATCAAATCTTCACTGCTAAGTGTGAGAAATGCTAATCCAATCCTCCATTCACATCTTTTCTTGTTACCTAATTATTAGATTGAATACTTGCAATGGAGAAGTTCAGAAATGATATTTTTTTTCCACTTTCTTCATGATAAAACGCTGCCTAAAGCTATGTCCATTTTAAATGCAAGAGTAATTAAATCATGGTGGGAAATCTAGCTCATCTATGTCATGACTCTGAAACCTGGCTACACATAGGAATCACCTGCAAAACTTTTAAAAATGCAATATCCAAACTTCATACAAGCCAACTAAATTTAAAACCATGGAGTGACCCTAGAACATCAGAATTTAAAGAAAAAACGGATTGAAAATTCAAAAACAGAGTCAGTGAAAGCTAAAAAGCAATGATTTGCACTAATGATATTCCACACAAACTGCATGTCTGAGTCACTAGGGAGGTCTTAAAAAATAGACTGATTCCAGAACCCTACCAGGGTATATTGACTCAGAATCTGTAGAAGTGGAGCCCATCATTCTGTAAGACTTCATAAACTCCCCTCTGCTGATTCTAATGCAAAGTCACTAGGGAACCACTACTTTATATCAAGCATTTACTCTCCCTGTTGTGTACTAGCAAAGATTGTTTTGAACTTTTATTGGTCTCAAATGCCAAGCCTGCCTACTTGCTTCTAATCAATAACTGACAGAATTCATCATAGTAACTCCAAAGATTTTATTGATCTTTTGGGATGTTTCATTTACAGCCCAATCACCCACATCATCTACCACATATTGTACCCAGCTCTGGCTATGTAGTTCATTGAACCTTTAACAGTCTCTCCAATAGGGTGCTGCTCTGGGAACAATGAGATGGAATCACATCACTCCCCAAGCTTTGTGTCCCTGCTTTAAGTGGCAGGCAATGTCAGGACAAATGAAATGAACACCATCAGTCCAGCAATTCTGAATGAAATCTAAATTTTTCTTTATACCTAGAAGCAAACTGTTATCTGTTTGCTTCCCTCAGAGAGATAGTAAGAGAAAGTAAAAGTGACCCCTAAGATAGAAGTGAGACAGTTCCTTACAATCTTAAAACTCTACCTAGACACAAGAGCAACAACTTTGGAGAAATATTTGGATGGAATCAGTCAATTAGTACACATACTGCCATTGTGCCAACATATTAAATATATTAACTCATGCAATGTTCACAATATTCCTATCAGGCAGGTACTACTATTATGCTTATGAATAAAGAAACAAAGGAAAACAGAAGTTAAATGCTTGGACCAAAGACTCACAACCAGTAAGTGGCAGTTTTTGAATCGAGGCAACCTGGCTTTGGAGTAAAACATCTTTTCTTTCTTTTCTTTTGTTTTTTGAGACAGCGTCTTATTATGTTATCCAGGCTGATCTCAAACTCATGCTCCTCCTGCCTCATTCTCTGAACAGCTGGAATTATGGGCATGCATCACCCAGCCCTAATCCATGTAAATACTCCATTACCATATAGATGGGTGATGGCCAAGCCATTTAACAACTACAACCACAACAACAAAGTTAAAAGTCCACAGTAGAAGTAGAAACTACAAATCAGATCCTGTGTATCTTGGCAAGTCACTTAACCTTTCTGAGTACTTTTGTACCTGATAAACAGACATGGTAATATCTGAGAGGGGAGTAATGTGAGGAAGGCTGACGACAGTGTGTCTTTTCCCGTGACGAATTTCCTGTATTTAAACATTCTCAGTATTTTTGATCACCCCACATATGTTGGGGGGGGCACTAGGCATCTGAACCCTAACAACGAAAACATCAGTATAGGTTCCAAGGCTTCGGAAAGGAAGCCCAGGCCTGGCCATGCGTCTTCCTGGAGCCAGAGCATCCCGGCTGGAACATCCCTCCCCAACAGGGGACGATCTTGTTGCCCCCTCCCCGGAGGCCCCAGCCTCTGGCGCGGGCCTGGCACCCATGGAGAAACCTGTGGACTCGGTTCTCCCTGCACTCAGGCCAGGCCCGGGTGGGGTCCGGACCCGACTCAATGCCCAGGGTGGCTTCTTCCCCGTGGTCCTCGACCAAGGCCGGCAGCGTCCCCACCACAGGGCCGCGGCGCCCCCATGCCAGCTACTGCGGGACAGCAAGGCCCCCGGGCGCCCCACGCCGCTGTCTCCCCACCACCTCCCTAGCTGGGCCTCTTGGGGCCTCACCTGCCCACCTGTCCCATCTGTGCTCATCTGCCCTAACCCTCGCCCGTCCTCACCTGTCCTCGCCCGCCGTATTCCCCGCTCCAATCGTCTCGCCGGTTGCGTGCGCGCCACAGCTTCACCCAGTCCAATCCCAGCGGAGCCCACGAGCCTGCGCAGTGGGGCATCACCCGCTAAGCAGCGCCGCCCCTCGGCAGTCTTCCACACTGCAAGACCTGTGTTGCCCTTGACTGGGACAGGCTCACAATAGCAGACGCTCTGTGTCTGAGCCATCTCCAACTCCTGAGTCAGTGAGAACTGGTTCTTTAGAGGTAGTGGCCTAAACTGCCTGTTGAGTTCATGAGGGGCTTGGGCGGGAGTCAGAGCAGACAGACTGTTGCCCACGGAGTCATCAACCAGAACGTGAAGGCAATGGTTGCTGGGTCAGTGGAGACAGTCTCAGCTAGGGTGGTCAGATTGTATATATTGCCTGGGTATGTGAAGTCAGGATATTTTATCTGGTCGATCACTTGGTCTTGACCACAGTGGTAGTGGAGACTCCAGTTCCTCCTAGCTATGACAAGATCTGCAGCACTCAGCTCCAGCCCTCCATGCCGGTCCAAGCCAATAGCTCCGGGCTTTCGCCACAGTGGAGGTGAGTCGCAAGGCCAGCTCTGTCCACGCACAGAGGATAGCAAGCAGCCTCATCTCCCTGTGATAGCCAGGACGCCCTGCAAGAGAACCATTCCTCTTCATGGTGTTTGGAGAGGGTTCCCCCCCCTCAATGTGGCCTTTGTGTAATGAATGGTCCTTCGTTGCCTCCTAGTACCTACCTTAGGGTTATGCACATGCTCACCACTTCACAAACAGAAGCAGCATAAACAAATCAAAATGTTTCTGATCCTCACATAGATGGCTGCTCCTGGGACACTCCAGGGAAGAATTTCCACTCAGAGCACCAGGAAATCCCTGTGTGGAAACTAAATGTAAGTGCTGGGTGTGTCAGGACTCTGAGGGCCCTTTCATCTCTGCTAGACTTCCTGCTAGACCCTACAATAATCCTAGAGCCCACTTACCAAGAAAGCTCTTTCTGGATTTCTGAATTTTTCACCAGGGAAAAAAATCCAAAGAACTGTAAAGTTTAGGATCACACCCAGGTCACAACTGTTCTTCAGAGGTCTTATAGAACCTGTCTCTTGCTGGTTACCAGTGCACAGAGTCTTGCAGGCTTGGCCATATGTCCCTGCTTTGCTACTGAAAACCTGGTAACCTCAGGCAAGTTATTTCCCAAATTCGCTCTCAGTTTCCCTGTTTTGAAAGGGAGACATGGAGCTGTGAGTGATTCAAGAAACAAAGGACAGAAGCACCATGTACCATACCTGGCAGGGAACCCTGTTTCCTTTCCCAGGAGATGTAGCCATAGACTTCTCTAGGGTGGTGATCTTACACGTTTCTCTGCCCACTGGTCCTGCCCTCACTGTCTGTGCCTCCCTGAGCAAAGTGCAACTGAGTCTCCCTCTGTCCTATTGTAGGTAGGGCCAGGCACCTTCCATACCTCAGGTCAGATACATTCATCCACCATGATCCCAAAAGCAGAGGCCGAGACCTGGTTGCTAATGCCTTCTCTCTTCGTGACCCCAGCACTCAACCTCACAGAGCTTCCCTCTGCAGTACAGGCTGGTCCTACTCTCTGGTGCCCCAGCCCAGGCAGGTATCAATTCTGACTCTCCTAGTTCAGGCTTCCAGTCCCTTTTAAAGCCTGACTGAGAAGTCCCTTAGTTGGTTGCTGGGGGAGCAGCCAGCTCCCACTGCTTCCCAGTGTTGGTTTTGGAGTCTCACAATCTTGGCAGTCCCTGCCCTGAGCAGAGCACCCACAGTCCCCTGCGATGAGCTCTGAGGCCAGGCAAATGTCTGCTCTCTGCTGAGATAGGGCCTGTCTGCCCCTAATGTGTGAAGAACTGGATGCCATGATGGCCTCTCGCCCCGAGCCATGGGACTCTAGATGCAGTCAGAAAGGACCCCCGTGGACAGCTTGACCCAGGACCTCAGGACCCTCAGTCATTTCCCCAAAATCCCCAAGGCCCATGCTCAATTTCAGCTTTTTCTCATCCAGACTTGGGCCCTGGGAAGAAAAATAATAATAATAACAATAATAACCATTTCAGTAACATTGCCTTGCCCCAGCAGTCCTAGTCCAGGCCTCTGCTTGGCTGCCGAATTTATTTTGGGATGGAAGTCTTCACACTTAGCACTAAGTGTGAGTGAATGAGGACCATGAAATTCAAAGAAACTATGAGGCCTCTCTATGTGTTTCTTTCTCTCTACCAGCATTGAGACACTTCCCATTTAAAAACTCCATCAAAGTAAACTGTGCAGTTCAATACCAATAAAAATCCCAGTAGAGGCTAAAGCCTATTTTATTTAAAAAGCAGAAGGACATGCACTTACCTCGTAAATTCCTGGCTGTTGGGTCTCTGAGTTTGGCACAAGGCAGGTGCCCAACAAATACAAATTGATTAATCAAGGGGCTGGGAATTTAGCTCAGCAGTTCAGTGGCCTGCCTTGCAAACACAAGGCCCCGAGTTCAATCTCCGGTACCAAAATAAACAAACAAACAAAAAGCCAAATTGATTAATCGAATATTTGGCTACTCACCTGTCTGCTGCTTCAACGAGCCCATCTCTCTGCCTTCACACACCTCAAGGAGAGAGAATTCCTAGGGTTGGGCTAGAGAGAACTGTAGGATGGTAGGAGAGACTGTCACAAACTTGCACATAACTTTCCACTTCCAGCTCTCACTAACTGTAAAATAATGATGTGGCAGAAAGCAAAGTACAAAGACTGCCAGATTCCAAGAGAGAAGCTGGATTCATGCCTTGATCCCTAGACATTGCTACTTGCCTTGTGCCCAGCCTTGTGCTCTATAGCAAGAATATAGATGCTGCCATGTTATTGTATTGTATTAGCTGCACTCAACACAGTGCATGCAGAAAGCAGTTTCTTTGTCTCCTTCTAATGTTATTCAAACTCACTTTCCAGATGCCGTTTGTTCCTGGGCCTTTGCATATAAATGTGGGCTGGTCGGTACAGAGAGCACCCAGAACAGTCCTATTTCAGTGTTAGGCTCCCTCTGACTCACCTAATTGCTATCTCTATTTGCCTCTAAGCCTTTGAAAAAAAGCACCATGATAGTCTTCTCTTTTCTCATCCAGCTTCACACCCACACCCTCCCTGATGTAGGCTCAGGATCTGACACCTGGCAGGGCCTCCTTGATAGCGGTCCCTCTGGGTGAGTTGGCTGTTCCCTTCTATAGTTTCTCAGGAACTCCCATGCAAGAAGTCTCCAAGTACAGTTCCATTGCCTGGATGATGGTGCCTCTGGCCTAGGGCTTACACCACTTCTCTCAGCCACCAGAATGTAGTTTGTGCCATTTGTGCCATGATAAAGATACTAGGCCAGTGGCAATGTGGAGGAGGACTGTATGTGTGGTTTTGTGCCCGTTGTCTCAAGTTAGAGCCATTTTATGATTCATTAGTCATAGGAGGACGATTCTCACCAGTGCACCCCCTGCACGAGCTGAGCACTGACTCTCTCCAGTTTTGGTCCACATCACCCTGTGTGCCTGATAGTTCCAGGATGTGCTCTACTTTTAGGTCCTCTTGGCTATTACTATGATCCAAATGTGCCCCCCCCATCACCACCAAATTTGTATGTAGAAACTCAATCCCCAGTGTGAATACTAAGAGACTGGGCCTTTAGGAGGTCCCTAAGTCATGCTGCCAGAGCATATATAAATAGAATTAGTGCCTTCATAAAAGAGGTGGGAGGGAACTGTTACCCCTTTACAGCAGTAGCTTCTCCCACCCCGTGAAGACCACAGAAGATGCCATCAATGAGAACCCACGCCATGGGTGAGTTATTCCATTATTGTAAACCAGGCACATCTCATCCCTCCACGATGTCAGAATTTATTGGATAACAATGAATTCGCAAGTGACATCAATGTGTCAGCTTTATCTCAGTAAGTATCACTTGATAGCTATGAGCAAGGCAATCAGTTTCTTTTACTGTGTTCCAGTCTTAATTACCAAGCCCCGTGACACCTGAGTCACACATCATACTGCACACCGTAAGGTACAGGGTGCAGAGTGGCTAACAGTTAAAAGTGGCTGCAGGATTCCAAGGACTGAAATTAAAGACAGGAGCAAACAGACATGTGAAAAGTCACCACAGTGCCCAGGTAAGATCACAGACCAGGCAGAGCTGGTCCCAGGCATGGGCTGCTGAGTGTGCAGAACTCATTCAGGGCCTGAGTCCAGACGTCAGGCAGTTCAGGTGGGCAGGGTCAAGCAGGAGATGCAGCTGTGCTGGGGCTGGGGACAGAGCTGGAGCTCCACCTGTCGTCCTCATTGATGCATGCACCAGATGTGCCAATGAGGTGGGTCAGTGTATGTCACAGCTGGACTAGTGCTGGTGTCCCCTTTCTCTATGGCCCAAGGAGGAGCGGGGTGCAACATTCTTTTGTCTGAGTGTCTCATAACTCACGGGTCTGTTTTCTCTGATGTGGCTTTGCCCCTGATTCAACCTGCTTAGTTCGCAAGAGGTCACTTTTAGTAGCATTACTAATGTGGACATCAGGTGGTGCCTCGGGATGGTGCTGTGTGCTGGGGTTGTTCTCATTGTTCAGTGTGGTGTGCCCAACATCTGATGCTAATCTGTCCACACAGACAAATCACACCATTCTGCCTCGGCCTCCATAACTAAAATGGAGCAAACAACTACTTTATAAATGGAGCCGGTAGGATATGGCACAGCCCAGAAGCTGCTGCTCTGTATGGCCCAGAGTAATTCACAGGAAGCACAGCCTCCTCAGCACAAAGGGACCCTCACCAGACCCCACATTGGCTGGTTCCTTCATCTTGGACTTCCCAGCCTCCAAAACTGTGAGAAATAATATGTGTTAAATTCCCTAGCCTGGGTATGGTGTTATAGCAGTAGGAATAGATTAAGACAGCTGTATAAGAAAGGCTTCTGTATCATTGCCAAGATGTGGAGATTAGCAGCACCCT